AAAATATAGTTGGCATTATATTTCGCTAGTTATTAAATTAATACATCAAATAGTGTAACGAACACGACACGGGTTATGTTTATAGACTCGCCTCTGCTTAGGTGACAATCGTCACGTGACCGGCCACTCGCGTCTCGCGCGCGCATGAGGGTCACGGCGCTGACCCCCACCCCCCCCCCCCCCTGTCGCGTTACACGACAAACTCCATCTCAAGTGACATTCGCCTGCTTTGGTTTGAGATGTAAATCGGCGGCGGGAATCAATGGCGCGTTTCACTTCAGGAATTTGATGCAACTGGTAATGGACCCCCACCCACCCACCTCCCCACCCCCACCCCCACCTCCACCCCCACCTCCACCCCCACCCCCACCTACACCCCCACCCCCACCCCCACCCCCCCCCCCTGCCCTCTCTGGTTGTTTTTATCATCACGAACGTGAGACCCCCACCGGGACCTCGATGTGACCCCCTCGCTGTTGTCGGGAGAGAGGGGGGGGGCACGGATCTCTCTTGGCTATCACCCACGCGAAGAGATCGAACATCGCGGATTCCTCAATCAACTCACGTGGACCATCCCCCCACACGCCCCCCACCCCCGCCTCCCGCTCCCCCGCGCCCCACCCCCCTCCCCTCCTACCGTGACCCTCCAACTCCAAGACTCGGAGCTCCTTGACTAAGGTCAACGTCGGTTTTCGCACACTCGTCCGTCAATGTTCTTTTCTTGTATCTCGGCACATTCAGAGCCAACAACTCCGTGGCCTTACACGATATATGCATATGTACGATATACGACGTTCCGGGCAGTGGGCCTTTTTCATAGCACGTAAAATCTGCTGTGGAGCATGTGCTTACGAAGGATCATACATCGAGCGCATGAAATGTGCCATGAAGAAGGGCTATTTCCCGAAACGTCAGTTATTTTATATTTGTTGTTGTTGTCAACGTAGCAGCAGCATCGCCAGATAATAATTCATCTCATCTCACCAAGAGAATATTAACAATGAGAAAAACAAAAATCATTCACCCAGTAGCGTATTTAACCAGGGCATCCACGCAGCCAGATTTCCTTTAGGAAAAATATTCCAATGGGAAAACATCATCAGCTGAGAATTCCACCCTCGTATCACGAGATTCATCTTCGCCTCGGGGCAAAATCACCCGGTTAGAATATCACGAATCGCGGCCAGACGCGTATCAGAAAAATCACCTACAGACGATGAACGATCCATCATCGGAATCCCAACTAGCGGGACAAATTATCGCAGATAAGTCAACTGATCATAAGGAAAACGCTGTCACGGGGTATTACTATTTTACTATTTACTATTTTTATTTTATCGGGTAAGGCCCCACTGAGCTATGCAGATTTTTTTCAGAAGCGACCTGGCCGCAAATAAAAGCTCAACAAAGTGGATTATCACGCGTGGAAATTTATAGCAGCCAAATCTACTCTGAAAACGTGATGTTGATTCTAAATGTGGAGGGATAAACCGGAGGATCCGGAGAAAAATCCACGCGACCACGGAGAGAGCGAGAGAAATGCAAACCCCAAATATAGAAGAGGCTTAAGGGTCGAGATAGAACCCATGACCTCCTGCATATCAGGCGAGGTAGTAAACATCTCACCACCGAGATGTTAAGCAGGCACCCAGACGAATAACCTCTATCGGGGAATGTATTTCAACCATCAGGAAATCAGTCGAATGGGAAAATCATCCGTCGAGAAATGATCGATTATCCAGACGTCTATGGCGTCGATTGAGTGAGTTAGCATGACGGTGGAAGTGGTGGAAGTGGTGGAAGTGGTGGTGAGGTCAACTGGGGCGCAATGATGACCTGGAGCGCGTGATAGTCGCTGAGTTTACAAACGGCCACTCGGAACGATGAACCGCCGGAGAGATCATCCACAGAGATGATCATGGTCATCCACAGAGATGATCATGGTCATCCACAGAGATGATCATGGTCATCCACAGAGATGAGCATGGTCATCGTCGAAGCTCACGCTCACGACAGGAAAATCCGCGAAATAAATGCAGCCGGACTATTCCGGAACACTGTTCCGGGATTTATTTCAGCCACGCCACGTTCCCTAACGGCGAGTAAATACGTAGACTTTATATATATACTGGTTCATAGGATTGTAGGAATATAGGGTACAATAATATAGGATTAATATTATTATTTTGGATAGGGGTATCTTGCATTCTAGTGGTAGTGCCTTACGCCGATAATCCCGGCTCAATTCCAGCCTAAGCAGCGTTCGGGAAAATACCAAAGTGAGACATTTAAACTCTTTGTGAGCTAGCTGTAGCCACATCATTCATCAAGATAAAATAAATGAATTTGTGTGACTATACATAACTCTCCAGTCGCATCCTGGAGAGTTCTTGATTTAGCACAAATGGGAAATAAATAAATAAACTCTGCAGTGGTATAGCGGTGCGACTGTGGTCGTCCCGAACAGAGACCGAAGCGATGCCCCGATCCACAAATACGAAGACGACGACGATGATGATGATGATGCACTCACTACTCCGCTTGGCTCCGGACGCGGTTACCTGCTGGCTTGACCACGTGAATGTGTAACTGTAAGTTGTTTGCTCTGCGTCCACATCAGCAGCCGTGCGACAACAAGACGAAGACGAACTACAGAGAAGTCTGTGACGGGTTCAACTCCCTGCCCTTGCGCTGCCTCCTCCACCCCAGCTAAAATACACAAAGTACATCTGATGATGATGATGATGCTGCTGCTTTGGCAGCGGTGCACAAACCACAGTCGACAACAACGACAAACTCAACAGGTCCAGCCGCGTGAATAACAACACGGGCTTCAAAGGGGAACAGAAATATACAATAGGCGACGTTTCGGGCAACGGACCTTCTTTCCGCACCTTCGATGAACGTGATGTCCCCGTTCCTCTTCCTCCGAAGGAGCGCAGACGACAGTGGGGTTACTCTACGGCCTCCACGAGTCTCTACATCTCGATGTGTCTATATATGTATGAGTCTCCATCTATATGCATCTATATGCGTCTCTATGTATATCTATGTATTTCTATGAGTCTGTATGTATCTCTATGTATCTCTATGCGTCTGTATGTGTCTATATATCTCTATGAGTCTATGTGTTTCTATGTATCTCTATGAGTCTATATGTTTCTATGTATCTCTACGTATGTGTCTCTATGGGTCTATAATTCTATATGTATGTCTATGAGTCTCTGTGTCTCTATGCTGAGACTGGAGGGTGCCACTAAGAGGTGGGCCTTACCATCAGCCCCACCAAAACTAAACACCTGCCTGGGTATTTTGTACCATCGGACATTCCACCCCCACAACTCCCAATCGGTGATGGGGCAGTAGTGGAAAGAGTAGAGAGTTTCCCATACCTGGGCAGTGTGCTTATGACCGGCTTCAGTTTAACAGCAGAGGTCTCACTCCGAATCAGTCGAGCGGCAATATCTTTTCATCGGTTGCATAACGCTGTGTGGGAGCTACCTGGTCTGTCGCTCCGCACGAAGCTTCAAGTCTTCTCGGCCACAGTCATTCCCTCCCTTCTCTACGCTTGCGAAACGTGGACCCCCCCTAATGGAGCATCTTCGCCGGTTGGAAACATTTAGGCTGGCCTGCCTACGATCCATCCTGGGTTTAACCAGGTTGGATTGTATGAGGAGCTCACAAATCCTTGAAAGATATGGGCAAAGTCCCATCGGTGAGCTCCTCCGGCAGGCAAGGCTGCGTTGGCTGGGTTATGTAGCCCGCATGCCCAGCCACCGCATGCCGGAACAGCTTTTGTTCGACTGGATCGAGGGGGCTAAACGGGCGCGGCACGGGCTAGAGAAGAGATGGTGTGATGTGGTACAGGAGGACGTGGAGCTGAGTGGACTTGCTGATGACTGGTACCAGCGGTGTCAAAATCGGCCTCTGTGGAGGAGGCTCGTGAAGGACGCTATTGGGCAGTTGGAGGCAGTCGCCCTCCAGCAACAACGGAGGGCGGAGGAGCGACGCTCACAACAACGAGCGGAGCGCCGGGTGGCTAAAGCACAGCAAGTTGGCACAGTAGGGGGCACATGTGGTGCATCAGCCAGTCATCTCGGTCATCTCAGTCAGTCGACCCGTGGCACCTGGGTCTGCCCCGTGACTTCCTGCCAGCGGGCATTCGACACTTCACGTGGCCTCAAGGTGCACATGGCCTGGCACAAGCGTCATGGTGACGTCACCGCCACTTAGTGGCGAATGGCGGTTGTTGTAGTGTCTCTATGGGTCTGTATGTATCTCCATGCGTCTGTATGTATCTCTATGTATCCCTATGAGTCTATATGTATCTCTATGAGTCTCTGTAATCTCCATGTGCAGTGCCTCAGGTGTGTCCTACATGGCCCATGCGTTTGGGTCGCATGGCCACAATCGCGCACGACTGCGGCTGGTGTCTTTAATGCTCCATTCGTGCGCGTCCGCCGGCTGTGGATGATGTTCTGTTATCAACGAACGCGTGGAGTCTCTTGTTACGGGTGGCATTGTGAGCGGTGCTTGCGCACGTGCCGAGTCTTGCGTCGTGAATGGCCCTGCTCGCTGTGCTCGTGGTTTGCCGTGAGGCCGCGTCTCCTTCGTGAACGATGGTGGTGACGGTGGTGATGACGGTGGTGGTGACGGTGGTGGTGATGGTGGTGGTGATGGTGGTGGTGAGGGGTTATGAGGAACGGTGGTGTAGCGGTTAGTGCGCTGCGTGACGAACCCACTCACGGCCAACGCCAGTGACAACTATCTGAACGGATTTTCGGTCTCCACTAGATCGACTCAGCCTTAAATGAGTACCTGGTGTGGTGCTGGTCACCCATCCCCTCGTGTGCCCTGGCGGCCTTCAAAGGGGCTCGCTAACAGCACTTGCCTCAACTGTGTGTGAAGGCTACACGGGGGATCTTTTTCTTTTGATTTGCAGTGTCTGGTGAGTGGTGAGTGGTGAGGGTGAGAGAGAGAGAGCGGGCTACGACGCTCACCTTCTGGCCTCGTCTTTGGCGTGATCTTTGGTGAGAGCAGCTCTGTGTGCGCCTCTGTGGAGAGAGGGGAGAGACAAGTCAAATAGGGGGAGAGACAAACGAGAGAGACAGAGAGATGAGACGAGAGAGAAAGAGAGAGTGCAGAGACAAGGGAGGGAGAGAGGAGAGACGAGAGAGAAAGAGAGAGTGCAGAGACAAGGGAGGGAGAGAGGAGAGACGAGAAGTGGGGGGGGAGGGAGGCGGTGAGGCTTTAACATTGTACGCCATGGCCCATCCACTGCTGGATGAAGGCCTCCCCCCTCGTGGGGAACTGGGCAATGTACCGTGGGCATGCACGAGAACGTGGCCGAGTCTGAAGACGCCTTCGCAGGAGGGTCCTGCCGCTACATTTGAGACGTTGGCCAATCGTGGGCGGTGGCTGCCCGGCGCTGGAGGCTGTGAGTGGCGCTGTGGGTTTCTGTCGATTTGAACCACGGCCATCGGCGCGCACTCTGGGACCGCCTGACTCGGGGTGCGAGACACCTTGAAGACGAGGGGCGGGGGGCGAGGGGTCAGGCGGCGGGGGGGGGGGGGGCGTGGAGCGGTTATCACTGGGTGGGGGGAGGGGGTGGGAACGGGGGTGTCAGTGAACGAAGTGAACGTGGTGTGGGGGGGGGGTGTCAGTGGAGGAAGGGAACGCGGTGTGGGGGGCAGCAGAAGAGGCGGGGGGTTGGGGTGGCGTCACGCGGTGGTTGTGGGGTTCCTGTGGTGGGATTGGTGACCACGTGGCCCAGTGGCCCAGTGGCCCAGTGGCTCAGGAGACACTCTGTGGGGTAGAGGAGGAGTGGGGCACGGCGAGTGGTGTGTGGAGAGGGGGGGGGGCAGGGAATGGAGGGGTCATCGATCCGGCGATGGAGCAGGAAAAGGAAGCGGCTCTATTCCTGGGTGACTCTCCCTGGTGCCGGTGACACGGATTGACGGGTGGCGCTGCCGGCTGCGTTGGCAGTGGCGCACAAACAACAAACAACAACAACAACTCAACCAACTCGTCAACAACAACACCCGACTTGTGTGTTGTCTACAAATTAAAAATAAATATATAATGGGCGACGACACGTGCGATGACCCTTCCTCGTGTGCTCTAAATAAGGGCCATCGCCTGAAACGTCGCCTATTATATATTTATTTTTCAGGCCGCACAGCGTTATTGACGGACGTGTGGAGTTTTACCGATGGTTGATTTTTCTGATTGATCGTTTCACGTTGTTGTCCTGATGGCTGATTGCTGCGATGCAGTAGATCGTTGTCTATCTGATGACCGGTGGTCAACATTCCTACATAACGCGTGTACATAACGCGTCTACACGACACGTGCATATAACGCGTGTACATAACACGTATACAAAACTCGTGTACATAGCACGTGTATATAACCGAATCGAGGCCTCTATTTAGCAATTCATGTGTCTCCCATCATCATTCTCAAATATTTTCCCAATGCTTGATTTTCCCGATGATTGATTTGTTGATTTTCACCAAGTTTGCTTTACCCGATGGTTGATGTTTCTGATGCTTGATCGTCCTGATGGTTGTTTTTTCTGATTGTTGATTTTCCCGTTGGTTGATTTTCTCGATGGTTGTTTTTTATGGTTATTTTTCCCGATGGTTGATTTTCCAGATGATAAATTTTACCAATGGTTAATTTTTCTGATAGTTGATGTTGCTGATAATTGATTTTCCGATGGTTGATTTTCCGACAGTTTTTTCTGATGGTTAATTTTCCAGATGATAAATTTTACCAATCGTTCATTTTTCTGATAGTGAATTTTTCTGATGCTTGATTTTCCGACAGTTTTTTCTGATGGTTAATTTTCTCGATGATTGATATTTCCAATGTTTATATTCTTGATGGTTGATTTTCCCAAAGGCTGATTTTCTCAATGGCTTATTTTTTACGGTTGATTTTCCAGATGGTAGATTTTCCTGATGGTTGATTTTCCCGATAGATGACTTTGATGACGGTTGATTTTTCCAATGCTTGATTTTCCCGATGGTTGATTTTTCTGATGGGTGAGTTTCCCGATGGTTGATTTTACAGATGGAAATTTTTTCTCGATCGTAGATTTTCCTGATGGTTGATTTTCTCGACAGCTGTTTTCCTGATCGTTGATTTTCCCAATTGTTGATTTTATCGATGATTATTTTCTGATTATTTCGTTCTGATGGTTTATTTTCCCGATGGTCGATTATTTAATAAATTATTATACCAGTAGATTATTTGACTGAATGTTGATTCTCGATGGCTGACTTCTCTGATGGAGAATTGTACCACAAATTAGCGTGGCTCTTAGGGAAGGAGGCTGAGTGCCCAGTGGAAGGGAAGGAGCGAGTGGGGGTGCAGGGATGAGAATGGGGGGCACAGGGATGGGGGTACGTGGACAGGGATGTGAATAGGGGGACATGACATGAAGATAGGGAGACAGAGATTGTCGTAGGGTGGCAAGGATGTGTAGAGGCGTGGGGACAGTCAACTCACGAGGGTTATCACGGCATCGCTCGCGCCTCCCGTGGAGCCGAGTCTTCCTCGAGGAGCTGAGCCGACGGACGCGAGCTTCTGAGTTCCACTCCGGGTCCCAATGGACTCAGCCTAATCCCCCATTCCTCATCTAAGTCCAGAGATAAACCAGCACACACGTGTCTACATACACACACATACGCGCGTGCACACACACACACACGCGCACGCGCATTTACGTGGTGCAGCCGTGAGTCGGATGCGCTCGCTCACTCAGCTTAAACATCTTTGTTACAGGATCTCTTTCTCTCGCTCTCTCGCTCTCTCTCGCTCTCTCTCTCTACTCTGCTCTCTCCTCTCGTATCTCTCTCTCTCTGGGACACTCGCCTCTTTCTCTCTCCGACCGTCTCTCTCTCGCTTTCTCTTCCGTCTCCCCTAACCTCTCTCTGTCTCTCTACCCTCTCTTTCTCTCTCCTCTTTCCCCAGCTCCCTTCTCCTTGAACCTCCTCCTCCTCCCCGCTCGCTCGCCCAACGCCGCATGCGCAACCCCGGGACGCTGAGCGCCGGGCTCGCGCGCGCGCTCTCTCGCTCGTTAATTGGTGCAAGGGAAGTGGTGGGGGAGGTGGGGGGGGGGTACGTTGATGGAGGGGGGAGGGGTGGGGGTGGGTAGATTCTGATTGTGGTGAGTGGTGAGGAGCGGGGAGGGGGGGCAGCGAGTAGGGGGGGGGGCGAGAGGTGAGGGGGGGCAGAGTGGCACAGCAGGGAGGGGTGCGTGACGATGGGTTGATAGCTATAACGCATCCCAACATCCCGCATCCTCCACACCCTACCCCCCTACCCCCCTGGATCCCCTAAGGCCCCTCCACCCACTCCCAACCCCCACCCCGCTCCCGACGAAGCCGCTTCCCACGGTGGTGATGCGCGGAGGATGTGGAGGAGGAAGCTCTGGCTTTGAACTTTAACTGTCAAATAAAATCACGAATACTTATCACAATTATTATAATTATTTACTTATTTATCCACGACAACCACACGACTGAGTCGAATTACTCTTTTCAGGAGGGTCATGCTGCTGCTGCTGCGTCGGGTTTTTATTTTCAGTGATGAGTTGTGTTTGTGATCATACGCGTGGCAGGAGGAAACTGAAGGGCCCGGAGGAAACCCGCGCCTTGCGCGAGGGGGCAACACTCTATCCCCGTACAGATGGAAACAGCTGACGATCATTCCACTTGCTGTACCGCCTTCTCCTGGCGAGCCGGGGTACGGCACCTTCCTCGTGATGCTTGCCCCCCAACCCTTCGAACAGCGTGACATCAAAATCTGAATATTCATTCAGACTGGAGGAATCCGATAAGCTCTCAAGATCTTATTCACAGAGGTCCAAATCAAATCAACAGCCCCCCTCCACTCCCTTTCCAATCCACTGCTAGATGAAGGCCTCCCTCCGCATGCCGCGTCCGTCGCCGGCGAGTAGTTTGACCATACTTCACCACGCCGGTCGTTGCTGGCGCGGGGTCGGTGAAGGGTGCGTGGGAGGGGAGGGGTGACGTTGGCAACTCGCTCAGACGGCACTCGCCGCCACCGATGTCAGCCGCGGCAGCGATTCGAACTGGGTCGCGATTGGAACTCGGGTCGCGATTGGAACTCGGGTCGCGATTCGAACTGGGTCGCGATTGGAACTCGGGTCGCGATTGGAACTCGGGTCGCGGGTGAATGGGGCAGCGCGCTAACCCACAGCGCCCTCCCGTCGTCTGCCATCCATCGCAGAGAGAAACAAAGAGACGCACGGAGCCGCGGGGCTTGCCTTGCAGGAGAGTCCTGCCGCTCGCGAACACCACGAGCGAGCACGTGGCACGAGGGGCTCGTGCGCGCCCGGCCGCCTTTGTCTCCCCACCCCCTACCCCCCTAGCCCCCACCCCGCGGCCCCCCACCCCCCTAGCCCCCACCCCCCACCCCGCGACCCCCCACCACCCACCGTGGAAGTTGGCACCGTCCCGCAGCAGCGACTCAATTAAAGGCGGAGTCGATCTAGGGGAGGGCCAGGACAGGTTTCTGATATCAGTCTCTACTGATGGCTGCTGTGAACTTACACGGCAAGTACACGGGGGTGGGGGGGGGCGAGGCGGGGGTGGCAGTACAGCAAGCGGGCCCGTGACCCCGTCTACGCCGGAGCGTCATCCCCGCGTCGTGTGTGGGGGTTCTCTGCGTTGATTTTCTCCCCACCGCTGAAGACGAAACAACAACAACAACGAAACAACAACAGCAACAACTCCCGCATCGCTCGGGGCTCGGCCGAACGAAGTAAACGCCGCAGGAGCCGACTCCGTCCTGGACAGAGCAGCGTCGGCGAGCCCACGAGCGAGTGAACAAGCAAGCGGCTGCGCGAACGACTCAATGAACGAACGGACAACTGAATGAGTGAACGACTGAATGAATGACTCGGAGGAACGAACGCCTGAACGAACGACTGAAGGGATGACTGAAGGAGCGACTGAAGAAACGCCTGAATGAATGAACGACTGAAGGAATGACTGAAGGAACAACTGAAGGAAGGAATGCATGATTTCGTGGTGCGTCGAGCGAAGGAAGGGTTAAAGAAACGCAGCGAGACGCTTCATGCATCATGCATGGCCAGGGCAGCCCGCAGCAGCGGGCGCTGTGGGAGCGCGCGTGTGTTTAGTGAGTGTTGTGTGTGTGTAGTGTGTGTGTAGTGTGTGTGTAGTGTGTGTGTGTAGTGCGTGTGTTTAGTCTGTGTGTGTGTGTGTAGTGTGTGTGTAGTGTGTGTGTAGTGTGTGTAGTGTGTGTGTGTAGTGTGTGTGTGTAGTGTGTGTGTAGTGTGTGTGTAGTGCGTGTGTTTAGTCTGTGTGTAGTGTGTGTGTGTAGTGTGTGTGTGTGTAGTGTGTGTGTAGTGTGTGTGTAGTGTGTGTGTGTGTAGTGTGTGTAGTGTGTGTGTAGTGTGTGTGTAGTGCGTGTGTTTAGTCTGTGTGTAGTGTGTGTGTGTAGTGTGTGTGTGTGTAGTGTGTGTGTAGTGTGTGTGTAGTGTGTGTAGTGTGTGTGTGTAGTGTGTGTGTAGTGTGTGTGTGTAGTGTGTGTAGTGTGTGTGTGTGGTGTGTATGTAGTGTGTGTATGTAGTGTGTGTGTGTAGTGTGTGTGTAGTGTGTGTGTGTAGTGTGTGTGTAGTGTGTGTGTAGTATGTGTGTGTAGTGTGTGTAGTGTAGTGTGTATAGTGTGTGTGTAGTGTGTGTGTGTAGTGTGTGTGTTGTGTGTGTAGTGTGTGTGTGTAGTGTGTGTGTGTAGTGTGTGTATTGTGTGTGTAGTGTGTGTAGTGTGTGGTGCGTGTGTGTAGTGTGTGTAGTGTGTGTGTAGTGTGTGTAGTGTGTGTAGTCTGTGTGTGTAGTGTGTGTGTAGTGTGTGTGTGTGTGTAGTGTGTGTGTAGTGTGTGTGTAGTGTGTGTAGTGTGTGTGTAGTGTGTGTAGTGTGTGTGTAGTGTGTGTGTGTAGTGTGTGTGGTGTGTGTAGTGTGTGTAGTCTGTGTGTGTAGTGTGTGTGTGGTGTGTGTGTGGTGTGTGTAGTGTGTGTAGTGTGTGTGTCGTGTGTGTTTGTGTAGTGTGTGTGTGTGTGTAGAGTGTGTAGTGTGTGTGTAGTGTGTGTGTAGTGTGTGTAGTGTGTGTGTGGTATGTATGTAATGTGTGTGTAGTGTGTGTGTAGTGTGTGTGTGGTATGTATGTAATGTGTGTGTAGTGTGTGTAGTGTGTATGTGGTGTGTGTGTGTATGTGGTGTGTGTGTGTATGGTGTGTGTGTGGTGTGTGTGTAGTATGTGTGTGGTGTGTGTGTAGTGTGTGTGTAGTGTGTATGTGGTGTGTGTGTATGCGGTGTGTGTGTATGTGGTGTGTGTGTATGCGATGTGTGTGTAGTGTGTGTGTGTTGTTTGTGTAGTGTGTGTGTGGTGTGTATGGGGTGTGTGTAGTGTGTGTGTGGTGTTTGTGTAGTGTGTGTGTGGTGTGTATGGTGTGTGTGTGTAGTATTTGTGTAGTGTGTGGTGTGTGTGTAGTGTGTGTATGGTGTGTGTGTAGTGTGTGTGTAGTGAGTGTGTAGTGTGTATAGTGTGTGTGTGTAGTGTGTGTGTACTGTGTGTGTATGGTGTGTGGTGTGTGTATATGGTGTGTGCAGTGTGTGTAGTGTGTGTAGTGTTTGTGTAGTGTGTGTGTAGTGTGGTGTGTTTGTATGGTGTGTAGTGTGTGTGTGTAGTGTGTAGTGTAGTGTGTGTGTAGTGTGTGTGTAGTGTGTGTAGTGTGTGTGTGGTGTGTGGTGTGTGGTGTGTGTATGGTGTGTGGTGTGTGTGTGTATGGTGTGTGTGTAGTGTGTATGTGGTGTGTGTGTAGTGTGTGTGTAGTGTGTGTAGTGTTTGTGTAGTGTGTGGTGTGTGTGCATGGTGTGTGTGTGGTGGGGTGTGTGGTGGGTGTGGGGAGCGGCAGTGTAGCGATTAGCGCTACGCTGCGCTATGGACCTGGCGAATCAAGTTCGATTCCCGCTCACGGCCATCACCGGTGACGATTTTCTGAACCGGTCCTGGGCCGACCCTAGTTCGACTCATTGGCAAATGAGTACCTGGCGCGATGTGTAGACATCGCCACTGGGGAGACAAAGGCGGTCGGACCTGGTCCTGGCCACCCATCCCCTTCGTGCACCGTGCCGGCCTTCATAGGTGCTCGCTACCAGCACTTGCCCCAGCAGTCTGATAAGGCTACACGGGGGTCCTTTGTCTTTGTTGTCTGTGAGTTTGTGCGTGTCCATGAGACGTAGGTGCTCGCTAGCAGCACTTGCCCCAACAGTCTGTTAAGGCTATACAGGGGACCTTTGTCTTTGTGTGCATGAGAGCGAGCGGGATACAGAGAACGCGCGCGTGAAGTGATGAATTAAATAACTAATGGAGGAGGGGAGCCAGAGCGAGATCACACGGTGAGTGGCATGGGTGGACGTGTCACCATTCGGCATGTTCCATCCGCTGCTGGATGAAGCCCTCCACAATCCGCCGCCGTACAATAATAATGATCCACCTCGCACGTGCACACGGCCTAATTTCACCGCTCCATCTCCCCGATTAGGAGGTCCTCACGCATCATTACGCCACATCACAGACCCATCACGCCCCATCACAGTCCATTATACACCATCACGCCCCATCACAGCCCATCATTCACGCTCACAGCTCTTGATACCTCAACACACCGCATCACACACGATCACAGCTCATCATAACCCCATCTAATCCCATCACATTCCATGAGATTCCATCACACCCCATCATACACGATCACGTCTAATCGCAAACCAAGCAAAGTGCCCGAAGGTGGAAACGCGTCAAACGGACAGCAACAATCAGCATTGTCATGGTTGCGACATGCAACGCGTGTAACGCGTTTCTTGCCTTGGCCAATGCGACTGTCGCTGTACGAGCTTGGCTAGAGGCGATGATGACGATGATGACGATGATGACGATGATGATGATGAC